GCACATTGTAATGTATTCATGTGGTCTGTTAATTTGTATTTGCACAATGCAAGGCTCGTAAAAGAAACTTGATTTGAACAACATGATTCAGCAAATCGAACGGTGTATGTCTTAATTACATGTACAGTGTATGTACATATACTTGTATGAGTCAATCATAGCTTAATATGCTTTGTGGAGCTATACATGTCATATATGTATATTAATTGTTGATAAATGCTTGTATGCTACTGTCAATTTGTTAGTATATGTTGTATAATTTCACATTCATAATTAACACAGGTACATATTTTACACAAGGACTGCATTGTGGTGTTAAAGAACAAGGTCAGACTTGGAAAGAGACTTGAAAGGTGAAGGGTTATTCCTCTTTGTGAGCAGATGTATCTTATTAGTGGTTTGTAATGTATGTTTGCCCGACAAACATAAGTTATATCATGCATATACATGTACATATTTAGTATAGCATATATATCCTGTGTGTTTACATTACTTGTTGTTGATAATGTTTCTTTCTTACTTTGCTTTAAGGTATTTACAGCTACAAATGATTTAATGATTCAGCAATAACGTGTAATAATACTTTCATAGCATAGTGAATGTCTAAGTCTATTTTCTGATTTCGTTTGTGGTAACTAAATTAATTTCTAATAAATAATCATCATTGTAACATTAATTTGTTTTAGCTCTTTGATCAGTTGTGCTTTCACACTGGAGGAGATGTCAGTTTCCAGCTGCACAGGTTTCATATCGTCATAGTCTTAGCAATTGAATACATAGTAAGATAGAATTTCGTGAGATTCCATAGTTTTTTATTATTGTGTTATAAGATATGATCCAAAGCTATAATTCTTTTTTATGATTAATATTGATTATCTGATTAACTATGGCCACGGTAATTTTCTTTACTCGTCAATATAATTAAGTAATGTATATCACATGTATTTGTATTACAGGAAGATTGAAGCTCAAGAATTGAATTGTTTTGCGTTGTTGAACAAACACAAATTTTAAGCATTGCTTTTATATTTTCTTTTTTGGCTTTACGCTTAAAGATATTTGACTTTTATTATAAGTTTTTAATTTAAGAACAGTTACCGTTATAGATCTACATGTAAATAATAATTTGTTATAGTTCTTTATTGCGTTGCTGTTTCTCCTGCCCCTGCCCCTGCCCCTTCCTTTTGGCCTGCCTCTCAGAAGATTGTTGTACTAAAGTAAAATGGAATAGAAAGGTGATAAATTGGTATGTATATAAACTGCAGATAATAAGTAAAATAATCTTACAATTTCTCTATTGACTTGGCGTAGCTGCCATATGATGAGCTGCCTTTGCCTTTGCAGAGCAGCAACATCAAGAGGAGCTCCAGCTGTATGGAGTGGTGGAGCAGCAGGGGAATGTGGCGGAGGACCTCCACACAGCAGTGGAGGACCACCAGCCACTGGTGGCGGATCTCCAGCCAGCGGTGGAGGACCTCCATCAACTGGTGGAGGACCACCAGCAACTGGTGGAAGACCACCAGCCACTAGTGGAGGATCTCCATCCACTGGTGGAGGACCTCCAGGTACTGGAGGTGGCCGAGGAATTGGTGGTGGTGGTGGTGGTGGTGGTGGCGGGCCTCCGGGAGGTGGTGGTGGAGGCCCTCCAACTACTGGTGGTGGTGGAGGAGGAACTCCATGATGCTCATCATAATCCATAAACTATAAGCAAACATTGAGATAGCAAATGTAAGTTTGTAACTGAACTGACTTGCTTTTTCAAAAAAAAAGTTGCAAAGCAAAACAGCTGAATTTAGTTTGAGAGCTGTGAGCGGAAACTGAAAAATGAAAAATGGCAACTGAACTGAAGCTGAATGTAAACTTAAATAGTTTCAGAACAGGAAATAGATCTTAGTAATGACAATAATGGTTAATGACTATGAGCTAGGCTATGCATGT